CACCTACACGGGTATTTTTGAAAACGCAGCTGTTTCGTCCACACGAAAACGGCGTTTCGAATCACCGAAAACGAAGATTTTTTAAAATTCCTTTTTTGCGTTTAAGTGTGAATGAGGAATACAGAGTTGTCATGCAACGTCAAAGGTATGTGCCTTTTTTCACGTCACTCTGTGCGCCACATTATTGTTTACATGAGATGAATTGGAGAATGGCAGATAGAGATACTGGCAGATAATACTGTTAATCTGACTATCTGCAGGTTTTACACTTACATAAACACACACAGTTACTGTTCCTCAATTTAGAAAGGCAGAGGCGTCATGGTGTAATTATTTTACGTGTAGTTGTTTTTTTCCTGTGTAATAATATTCACCATTGCTATCAATACATTTTTCAAAAAATGCCTGTGTGGGCCCCCCTAGGGGGCGGGCCCCACACTTTGGGAAGGTCTGGTTTAGTTTAACTGTTGCTAGCTTGATTAGCAACTTGTAAGAAGATGTGCTATTTATCCAATCTGTGGTCTACAGTGACCCCTTGTGGACATGTGTTGAGTAGATGATGTGTTGTGATTGTTTTCCTAGTTATCTATGACTCTACTAACTATAGAATTGAATGTTTTCTAGAAAACCATGCTCATAGTCACACACACTGTATACTAACAGGAGTAAGTTCAAGTATGGCTGCACTGAATTTGGATTAAGCCTAGCAAGCACTCTGATGGAAACAATTATTCTGTGGAACTTAATCAAAGACAGTCAACCCAACTCCTGGACTGCTGCAGACTTTCTGACAGAAAACTTGTATACCCAGCTTTCCAATATATATATTTTATAGTACCACTATCACTCCACTAGAACACTTCACTCTCAGTTCCTTCCTATAATATTAAGTGCATTGAGACAACTGCTGGTAGCCAGATGCCCATCTCAGCCAAATTAATCGACAAACCAGCGGCTCCTCCTAACCATTAAATCAACAAACAATGCAAGAGGTAGAAAGCGAGAGAGATAGACAGAGAAACACTCTTCTACTGCCTCTTGTCCCACAAACAGTTGCACATTACTGCCAACTTCTGTACAAACAGTCAGTATTTTTCACATAAGAGGAACCTAAATATCAGTCACTGAGCATCTGTACACTATTTTACATATACCCAAAGAGGACACAGTGTGCCCAGACATGTGCACAGGGTGGTTTTTACATGTTTTTGAAAATGTATATCTGGCTCTGAAAAGAAATTTGACAATAGAATACTAGGTGAACAAATTCACCCCTAATTACTTTCATATTAGCACGTGTATCAGTATCAGAGTGCACACATCTGGCCTAAGCACATATAGCCATATAAATGTCACCATACTATGTACATTACATTATTTTCTGGGCTTCATGTATAATAACATATTATACCTAACGATTTAAACTATTTTATTGAATGATTATACAATAGTCTTTTATCATGCCACTTTTAGATCAACACCATTTTTTGGTTTGCCTCTTTAATAAAGCTGGTGTCAAGGTTATGGTGAATAAGGACCCAAATCCAGAATCACTCAGACTCACGCACATCTAGGAATCAAATAAGAATAAACTTTTATCAAAAGGCAGATGAAAACTAAATCCAAGACAACAGAAGACATCCCAGGGATAACAACAGGAAACATCTGTGGGCAACAATATGATGTGGCAATAAATAGAACTGAAGTTATGAATTCACAGAACTCAGAGGAAGTGAACACAGCTAGGGGAAGTAAAACTGAATGCCAAACGCAAACACTTAATGAGAACACTTAACACAGATACAAAGGCTACACAAGACACATGCGGAAAACAGGACTTTTAACTTTAAAACCTAAAGACAAAACTGAGAGTATCAGTTACCACTAATCCATGAAAATAATGAAAAACTTAAAACACTGGGGTCAAAATACTCAAGACACACAAGACCAAAGAAAGACAATGATAAAACAATCAGCACCTAGAGACAAATACAATGGAAACACACATGAAAATCTAAACAATAAGCAACACTTTTGCCCACTTTTTCTTAAACTAAAGGGAAAGAAGTTAGAAATAGGAGATAAGATGGGAAGTACTTTTGGAAAGCAGCCCCAGTCTGTCTCCTTGTCCTCTGCTCAGTGTCTCTGTTGGAAGTCAGTTGTTTCTGTCTGAGCTCTATACTGCAAAAGAGGTCCAGTGTACCCAGGATATGTTTCTGTCGTCTAGATTCACTTACCCTAACATTGGCGAATGGGATAAACTGTCACATGAAGCTGGTTCTCAACTGGCTAAGTTATATGAGGGTTTCCCCTGTGCGTTCACATGACCAATGCCAAAGGGGCGTTTCACAGATCATATGACTCTTCTTCCACAGAAAACGATCCCTGTGAGTGCCACCTGCTCCAGAGATGCTAGCAAATAAAAATCTCTAAAAATCATACAAA